TTTTCATTTTTCTGCCAGATGACCGATTTCACAGCACTCCAGAGGAAACTGGCACATTAAACTGGCAAATTCTTCCAGTGGCAGTGTCATTTCCCCACTTCACACGGGCTCCGAAATAAAGATGCCGCGCTCCACCTATGGACACAAACTGCCAGCATGGGTCTGCTTCCAAATGCCATCCCTTTCAAACTGGAACCCTGGCAACATCTTTTAGCATGGCAGTGAAGCGCTCCTTTTTTGCTAGTCCCCTCTTGTCTCGGCTGGCTAGTCTCCTCTAGTGGCTGCTAGCAGCTACTTCAGAGCAGCCGGTACTTCAGAGACACGCCAGGAACTCTTAAATCACTGAGTAACTGAGCCTTTATGGAAGTTTTTTATTCCCACCGCCCCAGTCAGAGGGGAGCTATGCCTAAGGGAAGAATTACGTACCCACACCACAAAGAGGGATGTTGTACCCATAGTTTTAGGACTGTCTGCAAATCTGTGGACTAGTGGATTTCTGCCAGGCTCTGGATACTCTGCTCGCAATGAGTCCAACGTGGACTGCACTGCTCTGGGAAGAGCTTTCCAAGGGTACTGCACCACCAACAAGAATATTTTAATGTCAGATGCTGCTTTTTATCAGCTCTGAAAGCATCTCGCAAGGAATGCCAGTACTTACAGATGGGAAAATGAAGTGCAGAGGAGCAGAGACTTGCCTATGGTTACTCAGCAGGCTGGCTGCAGAGTCAAGACCAAAGCCCAGAATAATACAATGCATTGCCCCACTAACCACAGCACCCAGCCTGCCCTAGCATCCCCCACTGCAGGACTTCCCCCACCACCCCCTTCCCAAACCAAAGCCCCTGGAGTGCTAAGAGCTAGAGACTTCAACAGCTTTATTTTCTGAAATTTGTCTATGAAGTTCTGGGAAGGAGGAAGAAAGAATATTCCCAAGAGAGTAAAGAACAGGCAGCACAGGGCTGTGAAGTACTCTTATTTACACAATAGCTCCCACACATGAATAAATCCGGTAATGCAGTACACACAAGGAAAGAATCAGCAAAAGGCATCAAATGCAGAGGGACATGCACAAGCCAGGCCAAACAGCTCAGCCAGAGCAGGAAATAAATGCTTATGCTGGAATTTCAGCAGCCTCATTTGCAGCAACCCATCTCTGCGGAGGGAGCTCACAGCAGGAGGCAGCGGGTGCCAGGGGAGCACTGAAGAGTTGTGGCTGCTGGCCTGGAGGAGCAGACACCCCAAGGAAGGAGGCAGCACACACACACAAGTGGTGGACCCTGCCTGGGTGCAGATGCTTGTGTGACACTGACGGAAGGCACTGCACTGGCCTTGCCTCTGTCCTGGCAGGCAGATTCTTCAGCTGCAGAAGGAGCTTGTGCCTGGGGGAAACTCCTTGAAGCCCGCCTGGGCTGGGAGAGCTGGTGCACAGCCCAGCTACCGGTGTCCTTTTGGTCTTGACCACTGTGGGGACACGTGACACAAGCAGGCACAGGAAGGTTTACATTTGGTAGCCTTGTCTGACCTCATGGCTGAGCCTGCTTCTAGCAGGAGACTGGACTAGAGACCTCCTGAGGTCCCTTCCAGCCTGAATTGTCCTGTTGGGCATCTGATCGCTGATGGGAATACAAGCTACCTTAGGCAAGGCTCCCTCAGCAATGCTCGGGTGGGAGCTGGGCATTTCAGAGACTCGAAATAACTAGCTCGGAATTGCTGACGGATGTGTGGGGTCTGAAATCTTGCCTCTGCAGGGCTCCTCCTTTCCTACAAAAACTGGAGGAAGAAAGACTGTGCTCATGTTCTCACTACCTGCTCAGCCTCTCCAATTTCCGACTCCCAGAAAGATGCTCCAGGTCTGCTCAGGAAGACACTGGATGCCCTCCATCCATATGGACAGAAACAAGCATTGCACAGAAAAAAATTTAAGTCAACTGGGGCAGAGAGAAGCTCTGTGGCTGTACAGATCAGCGGTTAATTCCCCAGAGCAGGAGAAGGGTGCTGGATCTCAGTCTGTATTCTTCAGGATTGTCTGTTGTACATGGAGCAGTTACATATATAAACACTCCTGAAGGCAAGTGCTGTAAATAACAGGCTGAAAAGTGACATTACAAAGTACCAGAGAGAAGAGACAAAGACAACTGCCCTCATGCAATAAACCAACCAGGAGTTATGGATCAATTATCATGTGCTGCTTTTGTATCGCAGCCCTCACAATCTCAGTAAGATAATTCAGCTAAATAACACCCTCATCCTCCTCACTCCACAGATGGGGGGGTGAAAGAGAGACTTAGTAGCAGAGATAAGAGCAGACTGAGTCCTGACCTGCACGCATCTCAAACACGTGCATGCTACGCCCTCACTCTGCACTGGGCCCCTGTCCGATCTCTCTTCTGCCTGAAAGATTTCAGGATCTAGCGCCACACCATTTATTTTTCTTTTTTCCCTTGCTGAGTGTGATAGCTGGCATATTATACTATGAAGAGGAAATGCTGCCTTACTTAGTACTCTGATGCACACAACATTCATCAGCAAAAGCACCTGTCCACACTTGCTTCCCCATTTACTCATCCCCTACGTTGGCTACAAGATCAACTTGTAAATTGGTTAAATTAACTTGATGGCAAGCTGAGACCGAGGGGCACAACACTTCCCGTGGTACCACGCGTAGTACCAACCAGTCTGAAACTCCCCTGGCGCTCCTACAGACATTTCTGGCTCAACTCACGCCTGTCTTTGCAGCACCAGCACTACACCGATGTTTTCAGTCCAGACCTGCCAGCAATCACTCCCCTTCTCGTCTGAACAATTGGGGTCTGACACTTCTCGAGAGTCACCCAGCAAATTGCAACTGATCAACGTTAAGCGCTCACATTTCCCCTCTTCTAGATTCATCTGCGACGTCAGCTTATTCACTAGCATGTAGACCTCCACAAGTTCCTCAGCTGAAACTACAAGGCTTCAGCATCTCTCTCTTTTCATAACATGCTATGGGGCTGAGAGCCTGCCCCACCTCCACTGCAAAGCCCTGGCAGAGACAGACGTCCCTGCCGAGGGACAGCAAAGCGGCTGCCTCACGGATTGGCAGAATGCTGACACCCTGGGAATTCACATAGACAAACTGCAGCAAGATCCCCAGCCAGCACCGACCCCCTCATTTACAGCCATTTCAAGGTACTTTTAATATCTTTGGCACAATTATACTCCACCAGCCCTCTGCCAACAGCTTTGCTTGTCCCTGACCACATAAGGCATAAGATTGCCCTCTCTATCACATTTTCAGTCTCTGAAACGATGTTGCCTCCTACCTTTGATGATCAAGGAACTTGCTTCTGCAGGCGTGTTTGCTTTGAACAATCCAGCCTCCACCTTCCTCTGCCTCCTCGCTTTCCCTATCTGTTAACAGATTTTGGTGCTGTTGTTGTTGAAAAGCCAGCAGCGTGTGGAAGCTGGGTTGCCATCCAAACCAAATGCGACCAGGACCTTTAATTTCCAGCGTGGCAGCTGTTGTTTACATCACTTTTTTTTCCCCTCTCACATGCAGTAATTGGTTCTCACAATGTTCTTGCTCTCCCACACATGTACTTCAACAGGAAGCGAGGGGTGGGAGTTGTAGTGTGGGGGTTTCCTGTTCTGTCTTTCTGAAACACTTAACCGACAGCAAAGCTTTGATCAAAAGATCTAGGCGCACACGCTGGTACACCGAGGTTCAGCTCAGAGTACGTATTTCTTACAACAGGAAAACCCTAAGGGCTCCCATGGTTACAGGGTTGCTGGCACAGCGCCGGTACTTTGCAAGCCGTTTCCTGAGGGGAAGGCGGGCCGTTCTGCGAGCGCCAGCCTCTCCGCGGGGCTTCGCCGTCCCGGTTGCCCTGCGGGGGCAGGGTGAGGGCTCTGCCCCAGGGGCCCGGACAAGACGTGGAAAGCCGCAAGCTTCAGCACTCCTCGGGAGGGGAAGGAGCCGCTCCTCGGGGCCTCGGAACCGGGCGGGGCGGGGGGGGGGCGCGCCCCGCCCCCCG